TGAAAGTTGAATTGACGACCTCATTTGAATAACGCCGGTGACTGGAAGATGATAAAATATTTTGAAAGAGATCAGGGAGTCAGAAGTAGTTCAAGCTCTAATTACTCTGGCATTTGCTGCCCATGAAACTTGTATTAGAGAGAAGCAAGTTCGTTGCAAAAATATATGGAGCGGCATTTAAGGATCACATTTGTTCAGAATGGCCGCTTTTTGCCTTCGGAATTTGTTCAGAATGCCCTTCGAAACTTGCAACATAAGAAAATAAGCTGTATCGCCTCAAGTTGCCTACAGACGGCTACATACACGTCCTGTTGTTTGCAAGATGACTAGTGGATTACGTCCAATTGATACGCTCACGCAGAGAGGCCCTCTTAAATTGGTTTCCAAATCACATCATCCGGAATACACAGTAATGGTTAGTATGCTATTTACAGGCTGAATCATGGCTTGGTCTCGAAGTCTGCCTCCCGATGTTTATTGATTTAGAGAATGCTTAGAACTCGCTATCACGTCAGTAGCAATCTCGAAAGGCAAGTGTAGAGAAGCGCTTGATTAGAGATTGCTGTCGGCGCACGAATCTGCACATTTTCCTTCGCGGTACTGTGACTGCATGGCTGCACAGAGACCGCATCCTTATAAAACATATTCGCCATTTCGTGTGACCTTAGATACTGATGCCAGTTTTGTACATAATAAAGCTCATCTTAACAGAACCCTCAATGACTGCCAATTCTTAGACTATGAAACACTACTTCGTATGAAATAAGCATCGAGATTACCTGACTTAAAACTCATCAAGTATGCATGGAACATACTTGGAAGATGTTAACTTCTCTCCTGACACAGCCGGACAGTTTTACAAGCTGCGAATATGTCTGTATAAGCTGTATGTGGAGATTCATCATCCACCACCCTTTTAGTTCGGGCGACACTGTAGAGATATTAGGTATTTTGGACGCAGGAACGATGAAAAAATGCAACGATTTCTCCGGGGATCGAACCACGGACCTCTCAATTACGCGCTGATAGTGCAAACCACTACACCACGAAGGCTCACTAAGAAGGCGGAAAAAATACCTTATAACCTATTTAACAAAAATATGGTTTGAGAACAAATACATTGATAAAAATGATTAATTTAAAAAGGCGAATATTCTAGCCATATTTAGAACAAGCACATAATAATTATTTAGCATATTTATTAAGAAAAAAATTGGAAGAAATTTTGTTGTATGTGAAGTAACTTAGATCATATTTCTATGCAAACGTCTGCAAGAACTGAGAATGTTATCTTGCCGCTCTCGTAATGGCTTAGGTTCCCTGGAGTAGGTTGAATTATTTACAAAGCATAAAAATAACATAATTTCTTCTTTTTATTTAATAATACTTATGCTGAAGGAGGAGGAGGAAAATATGTTGCGAATTTTTGAATTGTTTTCAATAATTTCTTCATCATATCAGGTAAGTCTTCTACAATATTTTTAATAGAAACTGCCTGGTTCTCATTAAATTGAGAAGTTTCACTTGAAAAACGCCTAAGTCTGTCCTAGAAACTATGAGTTATTTGCTGGAACTTCTCTAGCATCATAATAGAATTTTGATATATATCAACTGCATTTTTTCCTTGATTTAAAAATTTATTCTGTTTTCCATTAAATAAAATTTCAAACATTAACAAGATATTATCTCATAACATATAATTATGAAACCTTTTCATCATCTTTCGTAAAGAATGAATGGTTTCATCCTTTAATTCGAGTATGAATTGAATAACAAAATTCCAGCTGCCATCAAACATGATAAAAGTTGAATAGCTTGAGACTATATGTTATAAGGTTTTTATGTTTAGTAATCAATTATCTTATCATTTTTAATCTTTATTGTTATTTCTACATTCGTCAGCTCCTGCCAGGCTGCAAATTAGTTAGCGTACTTTAAGGTATTTTCTCCCTCCTTTCCACAGGCCTTTGTGATGCAATTGGAAATACTATACTTGACATGTATTCAAGAGGTTCAGTCCCGCCGAGGGTATTGCACATCTTTCACCACTCCTACTACATAATAACATAATAACTCTATATAAGAAGAGAATTCTCAAATTAATGGAAAGCATTTTCCACTGACCGCTAACTTATTCCCGAAATAATTTTGTCCAGCTCTTATATTTACTTGAAGAGGCTTTAGCCTTAGCTAATCATGATTCGAGGGGCTTGAGCGAAAACTTTCCGTAGGACTTTTCCGTATGGACTTTTCCACTTCAACACAATTCGAAGGAACACAATTAAAGGAACAAAAACTTTAAAAACAAATTTATCAGCTGTTAATTATGATACTAGCAGATAAATATCAACTCGTATTAGGTAAAATAAGGGGAGAGGATAGTCAGAAGCTCTTATAGGAAGAGAGTGTAGGAAAACTGAAAGATCATAGAAACAAAATCTTTCTCTTAGAAGTATACAAATATCAAAAGATAATGTCTCATTTTTCCGGTGTTTGAATCTTCCTCAGAACCCTAAGAATTTATCTACATGAATTTTGTAATTAATGTGCAAAAGAAATTATTTTGTTGAAGAATACATAAATGAGCCATTAGACTTAAAAATTTGGCAAAACGGCAACTTCAGTGTGGAGCAGATTTTGAATAGAATTCTGCCTATTTCGAAAGCAATGAGACACAGGTCTGTCTTCTACAAAAGTAACTATTTGGGAACTAACTAACTCGGGAACTATTTTTATATTGAAAGCAATGGGCGAAGAAAAATGAACAGGATATATAAAATGTAAAAGTGGCTGCCGTTCCTTTTTTTCTCGTCTGTGGAAGATGGACCTGCTGCGTTTGATCTCCGTCGAAATCGATAGAGTTTTATTTAAAATCTAAGGCAACTAAGGCTTCGTTTTCGTCCAGTTTTAAATTTTATATTGGCATGCTTCTCTGCATTAGAATTTCATATTACCTTTAGAATTTTTGAAACGGAAATTTTTCATTTTCTGACCTGTCTGGATCTGTTAGCAGTAAAACTGTAAGGATGAAAAATGTAACTTAACGATGTTTCCAGTTGCAAAGCACCAATGTGATGCTAGTATCCTTTTAAGGTCTTTAAGGCACGGAGTGGAACTGGTAATTTAACTGTATCTGAGGCAATACTGAAAGCACAAAGACTGTGCAGAAATGATGCGAGATTACGTATTTAAAAGTATGTCAGAACTAGAAATCAAAAAAAGGTTTCTAGTTAAAACAAGATAATGATTCTAAACGCACGGCTAAGTTACAGAAGAGTAATTTCTATGCAATTTTCTAATCGAACTTATCTATATCATTGTTCATCCAAATTACATGAAAGAATAATAACTATCTCCTAGTAATAAGGCTTAAATGTCATTGATTCGCTTCAGTGTAGCTTATCGTAATGAAGAATTATTTTAAGGATGATGACGATACCATTGATATATTATGTTTTAAGATTTCATTTCTGTAACAAATCTTTTAAGTTTCAAGATTGAAAGATTATTTTTTACACTGGATTTCTTATGATAAATTCATTGAGATGATTTTACTAATTTTCTGATAGGGAAGACCTAAAACAGGTTATAAGAAATATTGCCCTTTTTTATATATTTGTAAGTTTTCATTACTTTAACAGTGTTCCTTCTTTCTACTTTCATGGTTCTTCTTCTGGACAAGAAATTAAAAGTTTTGTATATCTGATTATGTAAATATCCTTGCTATTTAACCTGGCAACGAATATATTGATTTAAAGAAAATAGTGAGCCAAGTTTTCCCTGTTTGCTTATCTTTCTCGGTTTTATAACTTTGCCTCGAGTAAATTTTTGAATGAAGAATCGGTCCAGGCAACGTTACTGGATACGTTTCCTTCTAGCGAGCTGAATAGTAATTTAGGCTAAAAAGACACTCTTAAAATTGACTAATGAGCATGTGAGTAATGATGTTACTTATGCCAAAGTTGGTGTGGCTTGTAAATAACTTATAAAATATATCTGTATCGAGCACATAATTAGTTTCCTTCTAGGTGAAACATTTTTAATTTATTTTGTAAGTTAAACAATATACAATTAAATATTTAACTATTAAATATTTAACTTGCGTTTTAATTTACTCTTAACCAAAGCTTGTTGTGTAGTACTCATACAGAGGCCTATAAGTTTGGGGTCTGATTAATGAGGAAAATTAGAGTGTAACTAGATACCTATCTTTTCCATCTGGTAGGTAAGAATATGTTGCTTAAATGTATCTTCTGTAAGTTAAAGATGTTACCTAAACTGAAACATTTTACTTCAAAATTTTTGTGACACAGCTATGCCTTAAATATTGTTACGAATTTTGTACATAAATAGATAATTTTGGTGAAACTGTTGTGTTTTTCTGTATAATGTAATATGAAAAGCTAACAGAAATGATGCTCAACCGGAAAATTAAGAATACAGGGAAAGTCTGCTTGAGTAAATGGCCATCTCACTAATCTGGAGAAGTGCAACTACTATAAGTTTGAAGTGTAACTACTGATTGTACTCTGTGATATTGTGAACACCTGTACGAACATTTATGTGGAAAGCGCCAGAACTCTGAAGTGTTTCTTTTGATAAAATAAATTTCATCAACCTATCATCGGATCTGTGTGCATTCAAACTATTATTACGAACCGCGTACGCACGCAATAATATCATTTTTCGTTTTTATTTAAAAGTGATTTATGCGAAGTGATTAGAAAGAAATAAACTGAATAATGTCTGTAATAGGCTCACATTATTTGAAAAATTGTAATTATATAAATTGTATTTACTGTATCTATGTTTCTTTTTATAGTTTTGTATATTATTGCATGAAAATGTTAAAATTAACTATTTTACTTTATTTACACTCGACGCATAGTCAGGTGCATACAGATTAATTTTTTACGTAAAATTATGAAGATAATTTGAAATAAATGCACTATTCTGATGCTTAGCAAGAGCAAAGAATATACATATAAATATATTCTTACCTGTATATACCCCAATACAGCCAGAAGAGTACAAATAATGTACAGTAGAAGTAACCGATGATGAGAGATGTGTTGAATACGGGATCTTTGAGGAACTGCACTTCGCATTCTCCATCTTCAAGGTCTCTATATCCAATGAAATGTTCCCATCCCATAATGCTGATGAAAAACACCAAGAAAGGAACAATCCATGTTACAGCAACCATCCACATAACTTTAGTCTTTGTTCTCCAACTTCTGTATCTTGCCGCTATTTTTACTGAGCAAAATCTGTCTATCGTAATCAAAAGTACAGTATATATGGAGACCAGGCAAACTGTATGATCGGTGGCCAACCATAGATCGCAGGTGATCGGACCAAGGTCCCATCTGCCCATCAAGACATACACAGCATAAAAAGGCATCGATATTATTCCAATGCATAAATCAGATACTGCCAGAGAGCCGATGAAGTAATTACTTGGTTGTCTTATGCTACGTTCTACAGCAAAAGCCGCTAGAACAAGAATATTGCCAGCTACAGTAATAATAATGCATAAACCAATCATAACGCCAATGAATATGGTGAACCATAAAGAGAAGGGCAGTACCCATGGATCACTTCCAGTGCTTTTGATGCTGGTATCATTAATATCGCTAATGGAGGGCATATGTCCTAAGGAGTTACTTGACGTATTAGTATGGTTTATATATGGTTCTTTCTGGAGTACTATGGATGCCTCTGTAGCACGCACTGTGTAGTTTGCTGAAGAGGCCTGGAAAAGTGCCATCGGTATGGGATACATTGCAATATCTTATAAGATGAAATCAGTGGCAAGAATACATTTTATTTATCTTGAGATGACAGAATAAGGATTTATATTAAGTCTTCATATTGACACGCTCAGCACATAACTTCGATGGAAATTCATTTCCATATTCATGTGAAGCTTGTACACTGAAAAGATAAAAGGACAATAATTAGTAAAGCAACAGACGTTATCTCATTTCTTTTACAGTACATCAGTGCATAGTTTATGTATAGAGATATTTCCGTAAACGCGTCAGTTGTTTTTGTAAGTGCAAACTTATCTTTCTCTTAAATTATTAGAACCATTCAAGAGGAATTGCCAGGTGTATGAAGTATGCGATATTTTCTGTTATGTTGAGAGAAATGAAAATCAGTTTTAGTATGACATCTAAGGTGTACAAGTTATTTGAGAAACTACGTCATTTTTAAACTTCTAGGTTATCGGTACTAAAGATTCTAATCCAATTCTAATCAAAGAAAGTTGTCTGTACTAATCCAAAACCGCACGAAGTCTGAAAAACCAAAAGTGTGCATATTTTTCCTTCAAACAAGTTAAGGTGACTTTTTTATTTTGAATTATATGTTCAAACATGGTCATAATTTCATTGTATTTTTGAGATTAAATTTCAACACTATTTAATATTACATCCGATCTATCTAATTAATTTCAAAACCATAAAACGGTAATTTTGCGCAAATCTTACTACTGCTTAAGTCGTATCTTTTAAATACTAGTCGTTATATCACGCCAAGTGCGTCTCTTTTAGCAAAACGAGTTACTCTTAGAAAACCGTATTGTTTCACATCGTGTTCGTCTCCCTGTAATATTTGTAAAGAACACTGCGAAAAGAATATGATTCAGCGCCTGAAGTGCAAAGGATGGGTACACGACTTATGTGCTAGAGTTGGTAAGAAAATGAAAAATTATCTTTGGGATCACTGTTGTAATTAATTGTAAAAATAAATTAATTGAAAAAAAGAAAGTTTTATTATAATTGACCTATTTTAAACGTAGTACGACTTTAGCTATAAGACTTAGAATACTGGTTGCCTATGTCGTGTTAAGTTCGCGTTCCTAAATTTTACCCAAGGGAGTAGAGTGTATGGAATTTTATTGTAATAAATATCAGCAACGACAAAATATTATTTACCACCAAGTATAATTTTCCTTTTTTATTGATCCAAAGATTTATACCTATCTTTTCTTATGGGGTACGACTTAACGCAACCTTACCCTAAATTTGAAATATGGCTTTAATTCATTTTAAAATAAGAAAACTATTTTTGATGCTTTCTTTAAAACTGCACTATTCAGACATAACATTCGTTAACAAGGTTTTGAAAGGTACCAAGGCTGTATCTATGCAGTACAAGTTTTCGTTTTCTAATAGCTCTTTCCCTTTACATCCATTTAAAATTAGAAAATTATAAAAGCTTGCTTCATCTGGTAATCGAATCTAATATCTCATCATCTATAAATTCTCATATACAGGAACATATATTTCTCATATACAGGAAGTACAGGGAATGAGTTCTATCTCTACTATTCTGAGAGTTATGTTCTGTTCTGTTCTGTCTTCATTTGAATGCCTTGGTTTGGATGGGAATCCAAAACCTCATAGACAAACACGAGATTTTATTTCATTGCAACAACCCAAGCAATATATTTCCCTTTCCTCATATGTGTTGCATATTTCCTAAACTTAAAACACTCTTACAAAGTTTTGGTGAACTTAAGACAATCTTAATATTTCCCTCAAATTAGTATAGCAAGTCTTTTTTTTTTCTGTTAGCCGGCTACCTCTATATTAGGGAAAAAATAAGCAGCTGCCGAAATAAGCACTGTTTTCGAGGTATCTTCAAAATATAGCTCTGGAAGTTTAGTTTCTTTTATCGAAGGACCTTTTTTATGTTACTGCCTTTTAAAGTTATCGGAGTTGTGTTTCGACGTCTCGCGTTTTTAACCTGATTGAAAGGTCTTACTTCATCGTTGTGATGCCGAACTTTAATAGATTATTCTTTTCTCTATTTCTAAGGCTGAGGAAGAGTTTTCTTGAAAGAATGAAAGAGTTTTTTATATTAAATTACGGTATCCTGATGTTGCACTTTGGCATCACGTAGAAGTAGTTTTTTGACTTCGTGCAGGTTTTAATTTCTTTTTTCTCTATAAAAAGATTAGATTTACTTTCGATTTCAGGACTTAATGATTTCAACTATTTTCGCTTCGTTTCATTGAAAAAATATTTGCGATATCAAAAATTAAGTCTGAATTGTAGTGTAGGAGCTTTTAAAGCTTGAATTCGAGATAAAACATTAAAAATTTCATAATTATTTGAATTTGCGACCTACCTTCCTTACGCACTTTTAATTGCTGATGCACTTGCTGATTTAACAAAAAGAAAATGTCTCGGTAAAAGTTCCCGAAATGAGTGACAGGCCATGTAATTTTATTACAGGAGAGATAATTGTTTCATGTTGCTTTGTGACAAGTATCACCTCACCAGTGGTCGAATGGTTAAGCCCGCTGAATACGGAGAGTTCAACCTGCGTTCGATCCCAGGCGAAACGGATAGCTGATTGTCTGTTTTGAGGGCTTTTCTATGTGTAACGATATAGGAACCAGTTTTCCTTAGAAAATCCTTTATGAAGGTATCCCTCTTCTTAGATAACCTAACAGTGCTTCTCCATATTTAATAACCTAATCTGTGATAAGTGTTGTGTAGCATTCCATCTATAAAAATCAATAGACTTCAGCTGAATTAAAAGATTTAATTGCAAGCAAAATTACGTGAAAGGCTAATCAAATCCAAGATGCAAGTCGTTTAATAAAATAATTTAAAGAAGTCTTTTCAACTTCACTTATGTGATACAGCGTCATATCGACACAGAAGTTCACCAGAGCGGTAAACTCGCTAAAAACTGGCAGTTCATTCGGGATTCGAATCTCTATGAAAGGGCTGGCTGCATGGGCATTTTCTGGGTTTCTCTCAAGTGTAACGTGCATTAGAGCCACTAAGAAAGTCCTCCATGAAGGCATTCCTTCCTTTATGCAAATAGCTATCGAATGCTTTGTCATAATCCAATAAGCCAAGCTAAACCATATCAACATAGGAAGCTACGTGCCTGTTAAACAACATATTTGACATGTCCCTTTCGCAAAATAAGAGAAGGTCGGAAAACTCATGAAGAAGATGCAGGGCAATGACGTTACTGAACCTTCTTCTAGTCCCTGGACATTACCGATAGTGTTATTACTGAAGATTTGTTAAAAGACTTTCAAATTCGCATTCCGTTAATTCGCCGAACAGAAAAGTAAAAGTTTCTGCGGACTGATGAGTATGAATAAGCGTTTAAATATTTGAAGAACACCTTGATTTTTCCTGCACTAGCTTATTTCTAATCTAAATATGATTTCATTCCCGATATAGGAGCTAGCTATGAAGAGATTGGAGACGTTAATAATGGAGAGATTCTTTTACAGGAAATCGACTGGCAAGAGCGTGTTATTTCTTTTTCAGTTAACATCTTTCAAAGCCAGAAATAAATTACTCTGTCATCTGAAAATAATTGTTAGCCATTGTGAAAGCAGTAGAATACTTTCGTTCTTATCTGTATGGCCTCAAATTCTTTCTACTCAACGAAATGTCTAAATAAGTCGGCAACTTAATTTCAAAAGTCCGAGGAAGAGGAAATAGCTAAATGGGTGTTGCGGTTACAAACGCACGACATGTAAATTCGGTATCATAAAGGAACTTTGCCTGAAATTTCTGATTCATCTTTTAGAATATTCTGTGCAGAAAAGTGCAAATACTGTTCAAAACGCCCAGGAAAAATGCAGCTTTTGTTTCCCAGTAGTGGACAAGTTAACATGAGACGCCAAAACGTCAAAGACTGGTCCCTGGTGCAAGCAAATCGAGAGCATTAATTTAAGCACTAATTGAATGAAAACTCACTTGGCAAGCTATGAAACCCTTTAGTTGGATTACAAAAATATATTGGGCATTACGAGAGTTACTTCTCCTGCCAAATCACCAAATGTTCTTTACCGCTAATGGGAGACCAATGAAATAATGAGTTTCAGGTGGCAACTCATTTTACCGAGATTTCGAATATTCAGAGTTCTGTCAGAACTTCAGAATCTACTTCTGGGACAAACCCAAGGCACATATAGAAAAAATGGTACAAATTCTGAGATGTTAGTAAATCCTGTGAAGTTCCGCAGACACGTACGCAAATGAGATTACAGTATCGACAGTTCAGGAGCACTGTTCGAAAGTATCCTTCCGAGTATTCTCGTACCGTTACCTCGAACAACTAAAGTACGTATCAGTTGTCATGGACTACTTTATTAAGTGGCAGAAAAATCTGTGGCCATATCTGATCAAAATACATTAACTGACGTAAACGTTGTAGTAGAGAAGGGGATTCCCCCCCCAAAAGCCCTTTCTTGCTCGCTTTGATTCAGAGAAGAATTTCAGAGCTGCGATATTGAAAGCACTACGTAGAATTCTTGGTATAGAAATGAAGTAAATCACTCCTTCATAGTCGGAACACAAGGTGGAGAGATCTATCACTATTCGTATCTCGGAGTCAACGCAACTGGGACCAAAAATCTGCCTTTATAACTTGCTAGCGTGTCGCAGTGAAGTTAACGAGAGCATTAGAGTTTCTCTTAATAAATGATTTTAGCAGTGATTTTCATCTGAAGAGTAACCTGCTATTCAGACGACCGCAGCATGCGCTCTTTTTGCCTGAGCAGTACCTGGGAAATCAGCAGGTTCGTCAGAAAAAGGATCAACACAGGAACCGAAAGGACAAAGATAAGATACGACGCCAAAAGAAAGGGTATCAAATCTGTCGGCGGAACCCCCAAGCGTCAATGAGGGATCTCCCCCACGTTGCAGACACTCTAAGAGTGATCCGTGTGTCTCATAAGGAAACTGAACAGAGTGGTGGTACGTACACAAAACACTCCTTCTTCCAAACGAAACTTAATGACAACGGTCGGCTTGCACCTTACAATGATAAAAAAAGGCTTAGTTGCTCCTGTTCTAGGTTAGCACTAGACGGGACGTGCAGTCATTAAGGGGACGGTGGACTTAAAAATAACTAAAAATCAACCAAAATATTGAATTTGTTTTTTTACT